TTGCCGACGAAGCCGAAGCGGACCCTGGTGAAGCGGAAGGACCGCCAGCGTCGCCGCCCTGGTCAGGTCCACCTGCAGCAGCCTCTCCATCATTGCGCTTGCGCTTCTTGCCCGCAAGTTGGCCTTCTGGGCCGCGCGCGCAGCCTGCGCCGACTTGGACTCCTCGACCGCCTGCGCGAAGAGCTGCTTCGCCATGTCTGCGATGCCCTGCGAGAGGGCCGACGAGCGAGAGGCCGCTTCAGCTTTCTCCTCAGCCGAGAGCTCCAGCTCCGCATCCAGGTCCTCCAGGATGTCACAGTTGATGAGCGCCGCCACATCAACCTTGCCAGAAATGAGGTCCTCAAGCCGAATCGAGGGCGCCAGCTCGGGCTGAGTGCTGACCTTCGACTCCGCGGCCAGTTTCTGCACTGCTTCCTTGTACTCCTTGTCAGCCTTCTCGAGATCCAGCTTCTCACTCTGCGCCTTGACGACCTGCTCCGCGAGCTCGTTCTGGAGGCGCAACAGCCGAGCCAAGTCCGTCTCGAGCTGTTTCTCCAGCTTGCGCACCTGCCCGTGCTGCTGTTGCGCCGCCTGATGAGGTGATGGCACCTGCTTGGACTTGTTTTCAGCAGCGGCCAGGCCTTTCGCGACTCTGCTGTACCAGCTCGCACCTCTGGCGTCGCCTTCTCACAAAGACGAGCCAGCTCCTGCGCCTCCGAAACCGCGATGTTGGGGGCAGGACCTGCAGGAAGTGGAGCGGCTGTGCCGTCGCCTCCTGAGCCCTGCGGCGCCCCCGCGAGAGCAGGCTGCACGTCGCCCTTGCCCTTGCCCTTGGACACGCAGCCGCCTGCGCCGCCAGCTGCGCCCGCCAGTTGACCGCCGCGCCCAGCGCCGCCTCCCGAGAGCGTGAACCAGCCTGGGGGGCCGCGATGCCGAGGAGACCAGACGCCTTGAGCCACGGGAGAACGAACATGAGCCAAGTGCGGCAACGGGGCGTGACAATGACAGCACCACTGCGCACCCAGTCCTCCTCCCCCCCCCCTCCTCCTCCTCATCCCCCCTCCTCCTCCTCCTCCTCCTCCTCCTCCTCCTCCTCCTCCTCCTCCTCCTCATCCTCCTCCTCCTCCTCCTCCTCCTCCTCCTCCTCCTCTTCCCCCCTCCCCCCCTGGATCGTTCACCCCTTCAACCTTGCGTCGTAAATCGTCGGTCCTACGACGGCGCCCCCGAGAGCGCAAGCGTCCAGGGCCCTCGAAGCGTTGAAAACGACTCCTTCGGGTGTGCGATAGGCATCTCGCCTCCCGCCCGCTGCCCGCGTCTTGAGAGCGGCTTTGAAACCTCTTCTGGGGGCGCCCTGGAAACCGCTCGGGGACGCCCAGTGACTTCTGCCCAACCGCCTTTCCGAAGTCCCCTTTGGGGCGCAAGAAAAAGTCACCCCGAATGTCCCCGTGGCTTTTTCCGCGCCGCGTCTCCGAAGCCTGGCGGGGGGCGCTTGTTCCACCTTGGGAACGATAGGGAAGCCTGTAGGGGATTTGCTTCGGCTTCCTGGGGGGCTCTTGCGGCCCTCTGGGGCTGTCCAGGGTGGCCCTTGGGCCGTTTTGGGGCCGTATGCGGCTGCCCTGGGTGCCTCTGGAGCAGTTTTGAGAACGTCTTGGGACCGCCCAGGGCCGTCCGTGACTCTCTTGCGGCTGTATTGGGTGCCTTTTTGGGTCGCCATGGGCGCCTCGGGGGCCGTCCTCGGGTCGTCTCGGGTTGTCTCGGAGCCCTCATGGGGGCCTCCCGAAGCGTCTTGAGGCGATCTTGGGGTCCTGAATGGCCGTCTCGGACGCTTGGAAGACGAAACGCACGGGAACTGCGGAAATATAATGTTCCCAGAGGATTGGAGCGATGTTTCCTTGTTCGGGCTCCCTTGGGGCTCGTCTTGGAGCCCGCTTGGAATGTATTGGGGGCCTCTTGGACGGTTCGGAGGGCACTTTGGGCATCTTCGAACGTCTTGAAAGCACGGCAAATTGACATCCACGGACGCGGCGGGCGCGTCGTGGGCAGAACCAGCCGCTGCCGAGCCGCGCGACGCCTGCGAGCCTGCAGCTATGCCCCCATGGGCAGGCCGCGGCGACCGGGCGCGCCAGCGCCGCGGGGGGAACTGACTGCATCCCTCGGAGGCGCCGTCGCTTGGGCGGTGGGCCGACTCTCGGGTCTGTCGACAGGGGGCCGACCTCACCCCCTGGAGCGCCCGACGCAGCCGTCTGTGACGGCCTGGGGGTCGGCGCCTGCCCAACGCGCGAGGCGGGCGCGCCGCGGGTGATCATGTCCCGGCGCAGGCGGCAGTAGCAAACGCCGGAGTGCGGTTGGAGCAGAGCGGCCCTCCCGCATTGCTCGGTGGCGGCTGGTTTCACGGTGAAGGTGCACGTCTGCGCATGGCGGTGCGTCCACGACCACCCTGGCAGGGCAGAAAGTCGATCGCAGTCTGGAGGGCATGCCCCGGGCTCGTGGCGAGCGCGGGCTGCGCATGCTCTGGCCAGCCACGCGGCGAGTTCGGATTCGGCGGACGTTGGAGGCGCCATTGGGATGCTGGACGGGCACGCGCCGCCGCGTTCCTGCAGCCACTCCTGGAGGCGCTTGTAGTTGTCATCCCAAGAGACGTCTCGCCCGCGCCAGTCCCAGCCAGGCAGTTGTTGGAGAGCGTCACGGCGTTTCTGTCGCTTGTCAGAGGTGCCCCCGTGGCCAAGCCTGCGTCTCTCGAAGTCGACGAAGCTGGCGAGGCGAAGCTCAAGCCTCGCTGTCCGACGCGCCAGTCCGGGCTGCGGGCCTGCTACTCGTTGGGGGAAAGCTGCGGGCAATGCAGGGGGTCCGTCTTTCTCTTGTCGGTGACATCCCAGGTTGGCGTAGGCGGCAGGGTCGCGGGAGAGGGCCCTGAGTCGTCTGCGCAGCGGGGCCAGCAGCCAGGGCAAGCGCGTCGGCATACGTGGTTCGTTTTCTGCGGGTACCGCTTGTCGCGCCGTTGGAGCCACTGAGTTAGGTCAGCAAGAGTCGCATACCATGAAGCATCGCGGGCATGCCAGCTCCAGGAGGGCCACCGTGCAAGCTCGGTGGAGCACTCCGACGGAAGGTTTTTTTCTCGGTGGCGCCGTCTTTGGAAGTTGACCCAAGTCGCTAGTTTCTTCTCCTCTCCTGTACCTGATCGGTTCGGCATGCGCCCGTGCGTTGAGTGGCGCTGTTTCAAGTTTTCGAGGGCGGACGTAAACCCAAGAGGCACCCGAGACCACCCTGGCAAGCTGCTCACGGCGGCCTTCCGAGCTGCAGCAATTGCGGGGCCCCTGCCAGATCCAGCTCGAATGCGCCGGGGCATGTGGTCCATAAAGTTATCGAGATCTTTCTCGTGAGACGATGCTCGAGGACAGAACGCCAGCCGGATCCGCCGCAGAACCTCAGAGCCAGGTTTCGCGGTGTCGGGGAATAGGCGGGATCGGGGCATGCGCGATGCGGGGGAAGGGCATGGGGTCGATCAGGGGGAGATGTTTCTGCGGGCTCTGGCGCCGTTCCTCTGGAGAGCGTCCTCGAAGTGGACCTGTCCTGCTTGGGTATCGCCCTTGGTGCGCGGTGAGCCACTCTCGCAAGGCGTCGACGTGGACATCCCAGTTGTTGCGGCTCCCTTTCCACTCTGGCAGTGAGGCGTCCAACTCCGTAATGAGACTGGGCGCCAGGAGGCCCCTCGCGCGGTTAGAGATGATGATGAACGTGAAGATGACTAAGATGCTGACGATGATTCTGGTGGTAATGGTAATGATGATGAGGCTGATGAGCCTGCAGAGGGCGAGCAGAACAGATAAATTCCTGGAACCTCGGAGTTGAATGATGACAACACTGACGATGATGACAATGACGGCGACGCCGGCGGCGGCGGGGGTGGCGGCGGTGGCGGCGGTGGCGGCGACGACGACGCGGTGGCGGCAGGGAACGGCGGTGGCGGCGGCCGCGGCGCTGATGGCGGCGGCAGCGGCGACGCGCTTGCGCGCCCGAGCCGTCGAAGCGCTCCAGCAGCTCGGCCCCGGCGCCCGGCACCCTCGACAGGCGCATGGCATGCACCAGGGAGCGCTGCAGGCTCGCCATCCCTTCGGCGTCTCGGGGTTCTCTTGAAGCCCTCCAGGGGCCCGTTTGGGCAATCTCGGGCGCCTCCTGGGCAGCCTTGGTGTGTCCAAGTCTCTTCGGGGGCTGTGTTGGGAGGCTCTTCGGCCGTCGTCTTCGGGCGTCTTCGGGAGGCCTGGGGACCTCTCGGGCTCCCTTTTTGGCTTCCTGGTGGCCTCTTGGGGCCTTTTTTGGCCGTCTTGGATGCCTGTTGGCGTGTTTTGGGGCCGTCGGGGGCCGGCTTGAGGGCCTCTGGGGCCGTCTTGGGCGCCTCTGGGACCGTCTTGAAACCGTTTTGGGGCCGTCTTGGGCCGTCTTGGGCCGCTCTTGGGGCTGTCTGGGCTGCCGTTTGGGCAGCCATAAGCGCCTCAGGAGCCGTCCTGGGGCCGTCTTGGGCTGTCTGGGGGCTCTAGTGGGGGCTTCCAGAAGCGTCTTCAGGCGATAATGGGAGCCTTGATGGCCGGCTTGGACTCTCTGAACACTATAAGCTCGGGAATTGCAAACATGTGCGTTTTCCGTAGGGATTGGGACGATTTGTCCTTGTTCGGGCTCTCTTGGGGCTCGTCTTGGAGCCCTCTTGGAGCGCCTTGGGAGGCCTCTTGGGCCGTCGGGAGGCTATCTTGGGCGCCTTGGAGCGCTCTTGGACCTTCTCGGAGGCCCTCTTGGGCCGTCTTGGGGCCCTCCCGGAGCTTCTCGGAGCGCTCTTGGGCCATCTTGGAGCGTCTCGGAGCGCGCCGGGGCCAGCTGGGGCTCGCAGGGGCCGCCGGGGCGCCTGCTACGCTTTTTTGGTCCATTGTAGTATAGATGACGTTGGGCTCCACCTTCGCCTCCGGCATCTCGCGCAGCAGCGCCAGCGCCCGTTGCCATTGCTTGCCCTTCTCGCACGCGCTGATGCCAGCGCTGTAGCTGATGACGTTGGGCTCCACCTTCGCCTCCCACATCTCACTGAGCACCGACAGTGCGTGTTGCCATTCCTTGCCTTTTCTGCATGCGCTGACAGTGGCAACGTAGTGACCTGGGACAAGTTGCACACCTGATTGAATTGCTTCGCGGAGCAGCCGCAGTGCTGCGCTCCATTGTTTTGTCCGACCGCACTTCTTGATCGACATTTCGAGGGACATAGTGCCTTCTCGAGACCCTCGACCGATGTCAACATCTCAGAAGATGAATCCAGCACGCCGGCTGCTTAAGCCCAATATTGCTCGAGCCAACATTGCTTGAGCCAAGATAGCTACGGAGGAGGAGGAGGAGAAGGAGGATGGGGGAGGGCTTCTCAGAGAGAGGCTGCTTCGTAGAAGGCGCTGGCCATGCATCTGTAGAGCAGGCCCGCGCCTCCTAAGAAGCAAGGGTGCTTCGGAGAAGCCTCTCCCCCCGCCCACGCTGAGGAGGGCAAGACGGCCCCCGCCCGTTTCCGACTACTTGCCAGACCACCCCAGCTCAACCCTCGGACCCAAACTTCAGGTGAGGGGGGACACGGGGTCCATATGTGTTCTTGTTGCAGTGCTCCTTTTCCGACCGGTGGGGGCAACGACCAAGAGAGAGAGAGAGAGAGCGTGAGCCGACACGTCACTGAGGAGGCACCGTTCGGGCTTCCAAAAAAAAATCAGGAGGACCAACACATAGCAACAAAAACAAATCCCGTCTAATTGCTATTTGTGTTTAGTAATATCCAGATCAACATGAGATCAAGATGGCGAGCGGGAATGAGATCATAGATGGGTGCAAGGAATACTAGATCTCGATGTTGAATTTCGAGAACACATGTTTCAACCGAGCCCTCTTCACCAAACCTTCCATCGGGACGTTTCGAGCCAGCTGGGCGCCAGCGGTAAACCGTCAACCAGGTTACCGCCAGGGACCTCGTAGAGTTTCTTACATACAAAAGAGTACCTGGAGCATGAGCTTGAAAACTCGATCAAATCTTTTTGGGGGTTTCAACAGAAAGTCAGTTCCGCCAAGTGTTCTGATAGTATTATAACAGCTGGCGCACTTAAAAGTCTACCAGCGAGCGCGAAACAACCTACTCTAGGTGCAAAAGATCTTCACTATGTAGACGAACCCGCCCGCTGGCGAGCGCCGTCGCAGCCTTCTCCGTGGAGCTGCAGCTCCGCGGCTGCGGCTGCTCGACCGCGGCTGCGCAGCAGTACTGCTCTCACAGAGCTGAAGAGATCACAGGAAGGAGCTCCATACTTCGAGGCATTCAAAAACACTGGAGTTAAAAAAGCAAAAGGGGGTGCGCGGCGCGTGCGGTCCTGGCGCACGCGCGGGGCTGGCGGGTGCGGGCAGAGCAGCGGCCCCCGTCGCCGGAGGAGGCCCAGGAGGCACCTCGGAGGGCCGCAGGCCTGCCGAGCCGCTCCGAGGAGGCCCGCCCCTGAGCGCGCCGCCGACTCACTGCGCTCAGGCACGCTGTTCGGCGGTGGGCAAGCCTCCCTTTAGTGACCCCCCCCCCCTTAGTGAAGACGGCCCGGGACCGAAACCGACGGACCTGGACCCGCAGAAGTGACGGCCGCGACGCCCTCTCGCGAACCGAAGACGGCCAACTCCTGAATCGACGCGTCAGGGTAGGAGGTCTGTCCACCTCCGAGCTGTCATCACGGGCGCTGCCATCACGGGGCGGAGGTGGGCTCTTGCCGTCGCTCGGACGCCCATTTCCCATGCATTCTTCGGTTTCGCGCGTGCTCTTGTCGCTCGACGGTCCAGGATGCTCCTCGAGGGCGTCAGGGCAGGAGGTCTGTCCACCCCGAGCTGCCAGCACGGGGCGACGGTGGGCCACAGGCTGGCGGAGGCAGCCGCTCGCGCGACGCCCGCGTGGATGCCCCGACGCAGGCGCTGGGCCGGGCCTGTCCCCCCACGAGGGGGATCTCGGGCGAAAAATGCACTATGCCCCCCCAAAATGCCCCAGAGATGGCCAAAAACAGTCCCCCCCAAAGTCGTCCCCGGCTCATGTCTGGATGATTTCCGAGTGCCCCTCCTGTGGAGGGACAGGCCCGACCTTACGCAGGCGATCGGGTGGCCCTCCCCCGAGGGCAGCCCCGAAAGGCGCGCCAGGGGGGGGGCCGCGGTGCCCGCGCCCCGGCCTGGGCGCGCCGCGGCGCGCCGCGAGGCCTCGCGCTGGTGGAGGGGCGGCTCGCCCTGGCCATCGCTCGGACGTCCGTGCCCTGTGCTTTTGCTCGGCTTCGCGTGGTCGCTCGCGCGGTCTTCGTCGGACGTCCGTTCACTCTGGCCATTCGCGCGGTCTTTCCGCAGGGTGATCCAGGATGCTCCTTCATCATCCCCGCCGAGACAAGGTGCACACGTCCGAGCGATGCCAATGCGCGCCTCTCGGGGGAGCACCAGCGGCTGAAGGGAGCAGGACGAGGAGGGGAAGGATGAAGGGGCAGAAGAGAAAGGAAGACGAGCGAGTTCGCCGCGAGGCTGACAGCTGTATTGCGAGGCGGGGATGTATTGATCCATATCCACCGCCTGGGAGCCGACGTCCTGGTGCCCCAGCGGGCGGTGGATATGGATATATTTCGGCCCCCGGGGGCCCGAATATGTCCATATCCACCGCCTGCCGAGGCTCCGAAAACTGACCCTCCAGGCGGTGGTCATGTATAAATTCCCGCCTCGGATGTATGGCCACCAGCTGACTGTAACTTGAGTGAACCAGCCCAGGGCTCCGCGCCCATGGCACCTTGCCGCATGCCTCGAGGGATGATGCGGACAGGAGGTAAGTAGCTGTCAGCCGGGATCGCTCCCTTTCAAAGGTACTCGAGCTTCTCCCCCATGAAGATGACGCCCTTGCCTGTTTCCTCGTACAGTCGCACTAGCGTCCTGGCCCACAACTGCCGCAGCGCTAGCCGTTCGTTGCCGCCGGGTTCCCTCCGCTCCGAAGAATACCAGTCGCTGTCGAGAACCTCCAGCTTCCGCCAAGTCGGCATGAAAAAAAAGTTCACAGCCAAACGGTCGAAAGTTTGAGCCAGGATCATGTGATACGTGCCGCCGGGGAAGGTCACGGCCTCCCCGGGCTTCATGTGGAAGAGATGCATGGGGATTCTTCTCAAGAATGGATCCTTTGCGAGCTCAGCCAGGCTTGGCGGCTGCCGGATCCGGAGCCCAGCCGAGTACGCCTTCACGTAGTCCGGGTGGATGAGCAAGAGATCGCTCTCGCCAGAGACCTGGACGTAGACGTTCGGCTCCTCGTCGTAGTGGAAGCCCCCGCGCACCGGCCCCATCCACAGGAAGCTCTGCTGCCGCAGCACCTCGCGCTCCAGGCCCAGGCCCCGGACCAGGTCCGGCAGCCCAGCGTGCAGCTTGCCCAGGCGCCTGCTGTTGATGTACCCCACGCTGCAGTACTGCCGATCCTCCCTGGAATGGTTGCTCATGAGCGCATTCACCGAGCCCTCTCCGAACACCGCGGCGCCGCGCGCCGCGCTGATCGCCGTGCGCGCGCCGCGCCGGACGAGCTGCGCGTTGCGCTCCGCGAAGGCGGCGAAGCTCACCGGCCGGCATCCGTCCGACCGGACGACGGCGCGGCGCGCCGCGGCGCCCTCCCGCGCCGCGAGCTGCCGCACCGAGACGTGGAAGAGCTCGGCGGGGAAGAGCGGCCCGGCGTCGAAGCGCGCGATCTCCCCCGCCAGCACCGCCGCGCGCACCGCCCCCCAGGTGGAGGCCACGCGCCCCGTCTGCCGGAGGTCCAGGGCCTCGAAGTACTCCAGCATCTTCGGCGCGGCTCCGGCCGGCAGGCTCGGCATGGGGGAGGACCGGACGCTGGCGTTCAGGTGCGCCAGCAGCTCCTCGCGGGGGAGCCTGGCTGCGGCGTAGGCGGGGAGTGCCTCCGCGCGCGCCCCGAGCACGATGGCCCAGTAGTCGTGCGGAGGTCGCGTGAGCACTTCTGCGGGGATGGCGCCCGCGCTCCGCCACGGCTGCAGGAGCTGCCGCTCCTCCGCACCCAGCCGGGGAAACTCCCTCCGACAGCTCTCCACCCACGCGCCAACGTCGCCATGGTCAGCGCGCACCCGTGGAAAGGAGTCGCCGCCCTGAGAAGGGTGCAGCCATCGGTAGTCCAACAGCTGGCGGCAGAACTTGCCTTCTGGATCGCGCGCGCCCTGGGTAAAGGCCGCGAGCGCCCAACTGCTTTCCAGGCGAATCGACGGACTCAAATAAAAGGCGCCTATGGCACCAAGCAGAGCAATCCACGCCGTCTGTAACTGTTGCTCGACATCCACAGTAATAAACTTGCCGTGAGAAGACACCGCAAGCCCTGCTTCCACTTGCTTCTCTGCCACGCGCCAGCACGCCAGCGTGCTGAGCGGCTGCCCCCACTCCAGCAGCGAGAGGAAGCCCCAACATACGAGCACTGCCACGGCCGCAGCGCAAGCGCCGTAACGGAGTCGCAGGCACATGCCCTTGGCAATGGCCAGCCGCGCCAGGCTGATGGGCGAATTCGAGACGAGCCAGCCGCATGGGCTCGAAAGTCAGCCCTTGGCAATGGCCAGCCGCGCCAGGCTGATGGGCGAATTCGAGACGAGCCAGCCGCATGGGCTCGAAAGTCAGCACTACTACTTGGGCCAAAATGGTTACGGATTCGTTTCTGTTACACTGTTCTCCAACGCCCCCCCTCCTCGGGGAATGGAGGGCATCTTGGGGCCTTCGGGCTTGGTTGCGGTGGTTTGGTGGGTGGTGATTTTCCCCTCCCCCACGGGGCAGCGAGAGCCCAGCCAGCGTAACCGTATCGCTCTCGCCGCCTGCAACGGGCGACAGAGGAGGCAGACCCGAGCTGGACCGAACTGTGAACTCTGGACCGGGATGGCAGCGGATCGGGACGCGCGCGAATCATCGATGATGATGATGATGAGGAGGATGAGGAGGAGGAGAGGAGGAGGAGGAGGAGGAGGAGGAGGAGGAGGAGGAGGAGGAGGAGGAGGAGGAGGAGGGAGGAGAGGAGGAGGGAGGGAGGAGAAGGAGGAGGGAGGAGGAGGAGGAAGATGAGGAGGAGGAGGGGGAGGGAGGAGGAGGAAGGAGGAGGAGGGAGGAGGAGTAAGGAGGAGGAGGAGGAGAGGAGGAGGAGGAGGAGGAGGTGGAGGAGGAGGAGGAGGAGGAGGAGGAGGAGGGGAGGAAGAGGAGGAGAGGGGAGGAGGAGGAGGGAGGAGGAGGAGGAGGAGGTGGAGGAGGAGGAGGAGGGGAGGAGGAGGAGGAGGAGGGGAAGCGGGTCGGGATCACCGGGACCGAATCGTTTGGGATCGCAGAGCTGGCTGGACCCCTGCGAGCCGAGGAAGGAATCGGTGCGTGCCCGGCTGTGCTGGATCGGGATCAGAGACGGCGTCTGGGGATCGAACCGCATGGGATCGGACAGTGAGCAAACCTCCTCCTCTCCTCCTCCTCCTCCTCCTCCTCCTCCCTCTCCTCCTCCTGCACGTGGTTATCCTCCCTCCTCCTCCTCTCTCCTCCTCCTCCTCCTTCCTCTCCTCCCTGCACGTGGTTCCTCCTCCTCCTCCCCTCCTCCTCCCTCGTCCTCCTGCACGTGGTTCCTCCTCCTCCTCCTCCTCCTCCTCTTCCCCCTCCTCCTCCTCCTTCTCCTCCTCTTCCTCCTCCTCCTCTGGGAGGCGCCAGGAGAAGTTGCAACAACTAGAGCGCGCTCCATTCGCCAGCGCTCGAAGACCGCCCCGAGAGGCAACGAGCGCAGGGCGGACGTAGCTTACTACCAGCGCTGCACCTTCACAGCAGCCAAGATCACGCTTGAGCCACACATTCATCGCACTGCGTGCAGTAGTGAAACACCTCATCCTCCTCGACTCCTCCTTATCGGTCCACCCACGCCCAGCGCGTTGTGCGCACAACCCTCCTTTAGGTCCGGATCATGTGCCGCGGTTGCACCCTCCCACTTGCGCGCGCATCGACATGCGTATCGCATCGAGCGCGGCACCAGCTGGGCACCCCCAAAGAATATAACAAACCCACACACACACGGACGATCGACCAAACGAACGACGCAACACCACCTCCTCGACCTACTCATCATCATCACTCTCGTCCTCCGTCTCTTCTTCCTCCCTCCCTTCCCTCACCCGCCCGTCGTTCTCCGTCTCTTGCTCCTCCTGCTCTCCCTTCCTCTCCATCTCTTCCTCCTCCTCCTCCTTCTCCTCTTCCTCCTCCTCCTCCTCCTTACACCTTCCTCCTCCTCCTCCACCTTCTCCTCATCCTTACTCCTCCTCCTCCTTACTCCGCCTCCTCCTTCTCCTCCTCCTCCTCGTCCACCTCCTCCTCATCATCCTCTTCCGTCTTCCCTTTCATGTTTCTTCCGGAGCCACCAACACATCCTTAAGCACCTTCGTGATCCGAATCCCCCACCCCCTTCTTTCCCTCTTTGGGCATCTCTTTCTTCCCCTCGCCCCTCCCATCGTCCTGTGTCCTTCGCTCCACACTCTCCCCCGCCTGTCCTCCTCCTTCTCCTCCTCCTCCTCCTCCTCCTCCTCCAGCTCCAGCTCCAGCTCCTCCTCCTCCTCCTCCTCCTCCCGCACCTCCATTCCTCCTCCAATTTCGACTGCCAGAGAAGACTGTACACCCATACACACCCCTGAGCACGTCCAGCGGCACGACGATGGAGCAGGCGAGGGCAACCTCCTCCACCTCCATCTCCCTTTCCTCCTCCTCCCTCTCCTCCTCCTCTTCCTCCTCCTCTCCCTCCTCCCTCCCTCCCTCCCTCCCTCCCTCCGACCCTACCTCCCTCACCCAGACATGCGACGTCCCGATGTTTTCAAGACGGCGTCCCCTGAAATCGCGACCCTTTCCACGGTACGAACTTTTCATCTTGAGTCTTTCGTTGGCGGTCCTGGGGCCCGGCGAGGGCCTCCAGAGGCCGAACACGATGAAAAATCACCGCCCTGTTTTTTTTTCCCATATCCTAAGATGGGGTTCTTGTTATTTCTTGGACGCCGCCGACTTCTCCTCCTTCTTCTCCTTCTTCTCCCCTCTCCTCCTCATACCCAGACTTACTCATACACATACAGACTCACACTCAGACTTACTCATACCCAGACTTACTCTCTCTCTCTCTCTCTCTCTCTCTCTCTCTCTCTCACACACAAAATTACTCATACTCTCATACTCAGACCTACTCATACTCAGACCTACTCCTACTCAGATTTACCCATGCTGAGACTCACGCGCGCCCCGTTCGCGGCCGTTTTGTGGGGATGCCTCAAGCGGTTTGCCTGTTTTCTGTCCCAACATCCTTCGCTTTCGGAGGATGTCTCGAGCGAGGCGCTCATTCCCCCCCCCTAAGGGGAGCCGCCAGGGGTTATCTCACCGTCCCGTTCGCGGCCGTTTTGTGGGGATGTCTCAAGCGGTTTGACTGCTTTCTGTCTCAACATCCTTCGCTTTCGGAGCAGATTTGGAGGATGTGCCAAGGGTTATCTCACGTTCCCATTCGCGGCCGTGTTGTGGGGATGTCTCAACCGGCTTGCCTGTTTTCTGTCCCAACATCCTTCGCGTTCGGAGCAGATTTGGAGGATGTCTCGAGCGAGGCGCTCATTCCCCCCCCTAAGGGGAGCCGCCAGGGGTTATCTCACGGTCCCGTTCGTGGCCGTTTTGCGGGGATGTCTCAAGCGGTTTGCTTGTTTTCTGTCCCAACATCCTTCGCTTTCGGAGCAGATTTGGAGGATGTCTCGAGCGAGGCGCTCATTTTCACCCCCCAGTTGGGCCAGATTTTGAGGATGTCTCGATCGGTGGCCAGACTCGTGGGCACAGATTCTCCTCAGGATGCCACAGGAGGCTCCAACAGGCTCCAGGAGGCCCCAGGAGACCACATGAGGTCCCAGGAGGCATCAGGAGGCCACAGAAAGACTCAAGAGGCCACAGGATGTCCCAAGAGGCTCTAGGAGGCCCCAGGAAGCTCTGGGAGGCCTCAGGAAGCCCCAGGAGGCCCCAGGAGGCCAGAGGAAGCGCCAGGAGGTCTCTGAAGGCAACAGGAGGCACCGAGAGGCCTCAGGAGCAGGAGGCCTCATAAGACAACAGGAGTGGCTCCAATCCGATGTGTTTTACGTATGCTCCTATAGATTGGGCCTCACCTGGAGCACGAATCCTTGATGTCATACGTATGTTTCTGTAGATTGTCCTTCTCCTGTGCACTTATGTTCCTATAGGGCCTCTCCTGGGGCACGAGTCCTTGGTGATTTACGTGTGTTCCTATAGATTGCCCCCTTCTCCTATGGCTCCAATCCGCAATGTTTCATGTGCGTCTGTTGCTATAGATTGGGCCTCTCCTGGGGCACGAATCCTCCCTAGGAGGTCCCAGGAGGCCCCAGGAGGACCCAGGCTCATGCGCAGAGACGCGCTCGTACTACTGAGGCTCTTTCACACTCCAATTCATTCTCAGTTAGATTCATGACCAGACCGTCACAACTGAAGCCCGTTTGTATTCGAAAGCTCTTGCGCCTAAACATTCACGGCGGACAGGTCCATGCGAATAGATGCACATATGGGGAGCTCCACGCAGTGAATAATCTTTGCTCGATGCGATCATGTCTGGGCCAGCCCCGTGCCGCAGTGCACCGGCAGCCTGGTCCACCAGGACGCAGTTCTGCCCGGCGTGGCCCATGAGCCTCGCCGACAGGTTCACCACGTCGCCGAGCACCTGCCGGTCGGTACCGCGAGGCTTCGGCTCCGTGCCCCCGCGCGCCGCGCGCTCCTCGCACGGTGCGCGCCCCGCTCGCTTATGTCCCCCCTGCCGCTCCACCACTATGCCCCCCCCACCACCCCCTCGATTCCCTCTCTTCCTTTACCTCCCCCGCCCCCTCCCCCTCCCCCTCCTCCTCCTACTCCTTCTGCTGCTGCTCCTCCTCCTCCTCCTCCGAATCCTAATCCAAATCCTAATCCTCCCGAGTCCTAACCCCGAACTTAATCCTAACCCTAATGCTCCTCCTTCTCCTTCTCCTCCTCCTCCTCCTCCCTCCTCCCTCTCCTTCCTCTCCTTCTCCTCCTCCTTTCACTCCTTTCGCCCTGTAAGTGGCTCCCCCCGTCTGACCACCAGGCATGCCGGTAGAGCGGACCAGGCGTTTCGCCTCAGACTTCTTCCCCACTGCTGATCCGGCTTGATGTTCCCAACGGGTGCGAGGGTGAAGGGCGGGTTTGAAGGGGCCCTGGGACACACAAATAAATACCCACAAATAACAGGATTCCCAAAATTTTCCCATATGTTCTGGGTTATTGTCTTTCCTCCCACTTCCAATATTTTCCCATATTCTGGGGAATCGACGATTAATAGTGTCTGTGTTTTTTCCCTCCTGAGGGTTGCCTTTCAAAATGTGGCTCCTGCCTTATCGCCGCGCGCACTCGTCTTCGACGTTTGCAACAATCGCAAGGAAGTCGTTTTCAAAATGGAGATCTCGCCTCGGCGCTCGCTGGTCGCTGGTCGCACTCGTTCTCACATTGCAACTCTTCCAAGGACGGAGGGTGGCTCCTTCTCAGAAAGGTGCTCTCGCCATAGCGCCACGCACATTCGTCTTCAAAACTCGTAACGACGGGGTTCTCGCCTGAAAGGCCGGGCCATAGGTCTGATCTTTCAAAGGGCGGGTTCTTGCAGTGAGGTTTGTAAGGACTTGTGTGAGGAGGGGACTTGGGACGGGAGGGTGTCTTGCAGCAACGTTGATGCATCTTGAGCTTGCTTTGATCCGCCCCCGCCTCATCCTCATCATCCTCCTCCTCATCCCCCTCTTCTGACTTCCCCTGCCCCTTCCCACTGTCCTTCCCCATCCTCCTCCTCCTCCTCCTCCTCCTCCTCCTCCTCTTCCTCCTCCTCCTCCTCCCGCTCCTCCTCCTCCTACTCCTCCTCCTCCTCCTCCTCCTGCTCATCCTGCTGCCCCTCCTCCTCCTCCTCCTCCTCCTCCTCCCCCATCCTCCTCCTCCTCCTCCTCCTGCCCCTGGGAGCAAGAGCCGCATCCGACGAATCGCGGGCGCGAGCGGCCGCTGGTGGGAGCGTCCGGCGGAAAGCCAGGCGGACGACGGGGCGGGCGAGGTCGGCCTCGCCCGCGCGGGAGCGACGCAAGGAGGCGGGCTGCGCCTCCTTCCGCCTGGCGCGCAGGAGAAGGAGGGGGAGGGGGGGAGGAGGAGGAGGGAGGAGGAGGAGGAGGAGGAGGAGGAGGAGAGAGAGGAGGAGGAGGAGGAGGAGGAGGAGGAGGAGGAGGAGGCGGAGGATGAGGGAGGAGGAGGAGGAGGAGGAGGAGGAGGAGGGGGAGGAAGGAGGGAGGAGGAGGAGGAGAGGAGGGGGAGGAGGGGGAGGAGGAGGGGGAGGGGGAGGGGGAGGGGAGATTAAACATGCGTAGACTATCACCTGTTTAGCCACAGACGCTTCAGCACCTACCTGGCGAAACTGGCCCCGGGCCGCTTTTTAGGATCCATGCTCCGAAGGTCTTCCTCAATAGTACTCTGGAACCCACAGGCACCCAGGACGATTCCCTCAGCAATCCTGGGAAGCTTGTGGCGATGTCCGCCTAAACCATGAGCACTTACGAAGCAAAGCCCAGAAATCCTGCGAGAATCCCGAGGCTGTCCTGACGACGTGCTCTGGGAAGCCGGTGGATTTCCAGACCTTTTCCAGCTCCAACTACTATGCCTACTACTCGAACTACGTGTCTACTGATCGACCTTATCCAGCTCTGGTGCCCCCATTTCGCCTCCTGCGAGCGCAAGCGCGGTCTGTGCCACGCGCGCGCTGCTCCCCGATGATGGGCAGCACTGGCGATGACAACATCGGCGACCATGGCGTCCCATTTAGCTTCGCCTCCTTCTCCTTATCCTCTTCTCATCCTCCTTCTCCTCCTACCACTCATCATCCTCCCCTCCTCCTCCTCCTCCTCCTCCTCCTCCTCCTCCTCCTCCTCCTCCGCCTCCTCCTCCGCCTCCTCCTCCTCCTCCTCCTCCTCCTCCTCCTCCTCCCTCCTCCTCCTCCTCCTCCTCCTTCCTCCCCTCCTCCCTCCCCTCCCCTCCCTCCCCTCCCCTCCCCTCCCTCCCCTCCCCTCCCCTCCCCTCCCCTCCCTCCCATCCCTCCCCTCCCTCCCTCCCCTCCCTCCTCTCATCTCCTCTCCTCTTCTCCTCCTCTCCTCTCCTCCTCCTCTCTCCTCTCCTCTCCTTCTCTCCCTCTCCTCTCCTCTCTCTCCTCTCTCTCTCTCTCTCCTCTCCTCTCCTCTCCTCTCCTCTCCTCTCCTCTCCTCTCCTCTCCTCTCCTCTCCTCTCCTCTCCTCTCCTCTACTCCGCCTCTCCTCTCCTCCTCCTCCTCCTCCTCCTCCTTCCTCCCTCCTCCTCCTCCTCCTCCTCCTCCTCCTCCTCCTCCTCCTCTCCTCCTCCTCCTCTCCTCCTCCTCCTCTCTCCTCTCCTCCTCCTCCCTCCCTCCCTCCTCCTCCTCCTCCCTCCCTTCCTCCACGATATGCATCGCAGACGCGCGCGCGCGGGGGGCTCGCTGCGCTGGCCCGGCACCGTGTACTCCGCCGGGGTCTCGTTGCCGACCCACCCACACCAGCACATTCCTTACCAGCGTTCGCGCCGCCCCTCCTCCTCTCCTTCCTTCTCGTCCTCGTCGTCCTACTCCTACTCCTCTCTCTCTCTCCACCCACGTCCTCCTGCTCCCGCTCCAACGAGGCACCACCACCACCGCCGCCTCCTCCTCCTCCTCCTCTTCCTCCTCCTCCTGCTCCCACCCTCCCTCCCTCCCTCCCTCCGTCCCCTCCCTCCCTCCCTCCCTCGCTATTCCTCCTGCTTCTGCTCCTTTTCCTCCTGGTCCTGCTCCTCGCCCCCCTCCTTTCCTTCAAACGTGTAAATTCCTCGTCCTCCCCCAGTTCCTTCTCCTCATCTCTGTGTTCCTGCTCTTCCTCCTCATTATCCTCACCTTCCTCCTCCTCCTCTTCCTCCTCATCATCATCAGCACCACCACCACCATCATCATCCTGACCATCTTCATCCTCCTCATCATCATCATCCTCCTCATCATCATCACCATCCTGATCACTGATCATCATCGTTTTCATCAGCACCATCATCATCATCGGCCCCGCCCGCTGGCGCACGCATGGCTCCGGAGCGGCGGTGCGCAGTGCGGGGCCCTGAAGAGGACGCGCGCCATCGCTCCCTGGCATGCTGCGGCAGTGCCGAAACGTGGAGCACCATCGACAGCAGCAGCTACATCTTCAGCGGCGAAGCCTCGTCAGGCGGAGTCGACAGACTAGGGCATATACGCAGTGACGCAACAAACCATGTCATCGCTACTCCTCGTTATCCCCGTCCCTTTGGGACAACGGGAACGGCGGAGGCTGGGCCCTGTGGCCATTCGTGTTCCCCTTCTTCTACGTCTTCCACGGGCACACCGTTGGTGGGCGCGGACAGACGGACCACCAAGTGTTTACGCCATCCAGAATGCAGGCTATTCGCCGGGGAGTTAAACCGCCTGGTATTCTGCTCCCCGTCGGAAGGCTGTGGGTTGCGTCCAAACGTGTTCCACGAAGCGTGTTCGTGGTTCCAGTCTCCGTGTTGCCCCGTTCTGTTCTCTGCTCCGGTTGGTGGCTATTGGGTGGAGAAGCAAGCACGTTGTGGTCGGTCATTTTTGCATGCGCGTTGCCATCGCCAGCTTCTGGTGCTACTGCTACTTAAGGCTCTACGGCGCATTCGGGCTTATCCCCGGCGTCGCTGCGCTCGCACTCGGGGAGGCCTTCTTCGTGAGGGTTTTCGTGGAGGTCTTCAGCGCGCCGGCGTTCGCTGAGGCCTTCCTCGCGTGGGTGCTCATGGGGGTACTATTCTTTTTCGCGCGGGCAATCTTTGAGGCCTTCTTCACGGGGATGATCGCGAAGGTCTTCATCGGAGGGTGCTCGCGGGTTTCTCCACGCGGGCGCAGGCGGGGGCCTTCTTCGTGGGACTGTTCGCGGATGTATTCTTCGCGCGGGTGTCCGTGGAGGTCTTCATCGCGCTGGCACTCGTGGAGTCGACGCCACCGCGACGCCCCGTGACGCCGTGACGCCCGGTGCGACGTTGCGACGCTGTTCACGCCGCGCCGCCGCCGTTACGACGCGTTCTTCGCGTGGGTGCTGGCGGAAGTCCTCCTTGCGCGTGTGCTCGTGAGGAGCTTCTTCTTGCGGGCACTCGTTGAGACCATCGTCAAAAGGATGCTCGCGGAGGTCCTCGTCGGGAGGGCGCTCGTGGGCCTCTTCTCGTGGGCGCCAGTGGGGCTGTATTCGTGGGAGTGTTCGTGAAGGTATTCTTCGCGCGGGTGCACGTGGAGGTCTTCATCGCGCCGGTGTTCGTGGAGGCCTTCTTCGCGCGGGTGCTGGCGGAAGTCTTCCTCATGTGGGTGCTCGCGAGGGTCTTCGCAGTGCGGGCTATCGTTTGAGGCCTTCTTGACGGGTGCGCTCGCGGAGGTCTTCGTCGGGCGGGTGCTTGTGGGCCTCTCCAAGCGGGCGCCAGCGGGGGCATTCTTCGTGGGTGTTCACGCAGGTATTCTTCATAGCGCTGGAGGTCGTGGAGGGTTCCTTCGCGCGGGTGCTGGCGGTGTCTTCCTCGTGCGGGTGCTCGTGGAGGCTTTCTTTGAGGGGGTGCTCGCGGAGGTAATCTTCACGATGGTGCTCGTGGAGGTCTTCTTCATGCAGGTGCTCGTGGAGGCCTTCTTCGCGTGGGCGGTCGTTGTGGTCGTCTTCGCGCAGGCGCCCGTGGTTGCCTTCTTCATGCGGTTGCTCGTAGAAGTATTCTTCGCGGGGGTGCTCGTGGAGGCCTTCTTCAAGCATGGCCCCCTGGAGGCTTTCTTCTTCGAGAGGCTGCTCGCGGAGGTCTTCCAGGTCGTCGACGCGCGAGGGGGTCTGAGCGTCCCTCCTTTGAGGTGGGCCCATCATCTTCTAGGCGCTCAAGTCGGCCCCGCCCGCTGGCGCACGCATGGCTCCGGAGCGGCGGTGCGCAGTGCGGGGCCCTGAAGAGGACGCGCGCCATCGCTCCCTGGCATGCTGCGGCAGTGCCGAAACGTGGAGCACCATCGACAGCAGCAGCAACATCTTGCAGCGGCGAAGCCTGGTCAGGCGGAGTCGACAGACTAGGGCATATACGCAGTGGCGCAACAAACCGTTTCAGCATCATCATCACCACCACCACCATCATCATCATCATCATCATCAGCAGCAGCAGCAGCAGCAGCACCAGCATCAGCATCAGCATCAGCAGCATCCTCATCATCGTCATCCTCATCCTCGTCGTCGTCATCATAATCAGCATCAGCATTATCATCACCGTCGTCGTTACCACTGCCATCATCATCACCACCATCATAATCACGGGCATCATCACTATCATCGTCATCATCTGCAGCACCAGCATCATCATCTTCAGCATCATGATCTTCATCGCCTTCATCATCACCATAAACACAATCATCAACGCCATCATCATCAACATCATAATCAACATTGTTATCAACATTACCACCATCATCATCATCATCATCATCATCATCATCATCATCATCATCATCATCATCACCATTATATTCACCATCATCACCAGCATCGTCATCATCATCATCATCATCATCATCATCACCATCACCATCACCATCACCATCATCATCATCATCATCATCATCATCATCATCAATCCCCCACTGACTGCGCCTATTCCTTCCCCCGTTGTCCTAATATCCCAATTGGTTCCTCTTGACCCTCCTGTCCCGCCTACTGCTCATTCCCCTGCTCCTTTCCCTCCCGACATACATATAATTCGTCATTATTGATCCCTCTGCCATGCAAATAATTCGTTTGTCGCACCACTAGACCTGTTGGCTGGGCGGGCCGGGCGTTTCGCCTGAGACCTCCTCACCATTTATGATCCAAGAACTCCGAATTTCATACAGGTGCACGATTGCAGGGCGGGTGATTTTCAATGTCTGGCTCTCGCTGTGATGCCGAGCAGATTCATGTCAAACGTCTCGAACAGTCCAAAATGGGGCTCTCGCTGGAGACCTCCTTAGACGTGTGGCCCGAGGCATGGGGGCAACAGCTACGCGGATGGAGGACGGCTGCTTTTCAAAACTGCGCTCGCTCGATACTTCTCCCAACGCAAGCACGACCCCGAGTGTGACTGGGTGCAAACAATTAGACACGTGGAGGGCGGCTCCTCTTCATAACGGGGCTATCGCCAGATGTTTCGTCGAACTGTCTCATCCCCTTTGTTCGCGCTCCTTCCAACAGTTCTTTTTTCAAACGGTGTTTCTCGTCTGAAGGGCACTCCTGCATAGGGGGCGGCCGTCTTTCAATGGGGATGCGCCCCGCAATGCCAGGAAAACTGCTGGGGATGCACCGTGGGGCGGGAGGGTGTCTTGAAGCTTTGATTATGCATACTGGGTTTGCTATGATGCCCTTCCTCCTCCTCCTCCTCCTTCTCCTCCTCTTCAACCTCCTTCTCCTCCTCCTCCTCCTCCTCCTCTTCCTCCTCCTCTCGCTCCCCCCCCCCCTCTTCTTCATCCTCCTGCTGCTGCTGCCGCGGCACTACTTCTTCAGTCGTTATCCTTCTCATCGGCCCCCCTCGATCCTCGATCCTCGATCCTCCTCCTCGATCCTGGATCCTCCCCATCGATCCTCGATCCTCCTCGAACGTGTCCTCCTCGATCCTCGATTCTCCTTCTCGGCGCTCGATCCTCGATCATCCTGCTCTTCCTGGAGAAGGCTTGTCCGCTTGATGCAAGCGTAGGCCGTCCAGACCGTTACGGCGTGTACCCCGATTTTGGACGCATCGAGGACTCCGCCACCCCGCACGGGGTGATGAGCGGAAGCGACAGCAACATATACGAGATCAGTGACCATCACAGGAGGAGGCGTCGCGTGATATCAATGGTCGTCGAGGATATCAATGGTCGTTGGGTCAAGAGGGGTGCGGAGAAGTCGCGTGCCAGGCGCCTCTGCCTCTCGTGGAGAAGAGCCGCCGAGGGTGGCGGCGCGCGCAGGAGGGGGGCGCCGTCGCGCGGGGGGGATGCGGCCCTTTTCGGGCGGAAGCGAGAGGCTTCCCTCTGGAAGCCGCATGGGGGGCCTCCAGGAAGGGCACGTCGTCGCTCGTTGGTCGTCAGTGGTCGTCGTCGGTGGTCGGTGGTCGTCGTCGTCGCCGTCGTCGCTCGCCGCCCGTCGCTCGTTGGTCGTCGGTGGTCCCTCGTCAGTCGTCGTCGCTCGTCGCTCCTCGTCGTAGCTCGTTGGTCGTCGCTGGTCGTCGTCGTCGTCGTCGCTCGCCGCCCGTCGCTCGTCATCGTAGCGCGTCGCTGCTCGTCGCTCCTCGTCGTAGCTCTTTGGTCGTCGCTGGTCGCTGGTCGTCGTCGCTCGTCGCTCGTCGTCGCTCGTCGCTCCTCGTCGTAGCTCGTTGGTCGTCGCTAGTGGTCGCTGGTCGTCGTCGTCCCTCGCCGCCCGTCGCTCGTCAACGCAGCTCGTCGCTTGTCGCTCGTCGTCGCAGCTCGTGCGCCCGTCGTCGCCCGGGACGAAGCCGGCTGGCGTCGGGAAGACAGCGTGCGCGCTGTGCCCGCTGTGCGCGCTGTGCCCCTGGCAGGGCTTCCCCCGTTCGCGCTACCCCCAAGGTGGGGGATAGCGGACGCCCTTTCCGACGCCAGCCGTACACGTCGTTCATTTCTAAGCATGCTCATTTCTAATTGTGCTCGTTTCTACTTGTTCCTGGCCCCCTAGTGGCCAGGAAGAGGCCCAGGATAGAACGATTAGACATGAAAGGATCTTGGCCTCCCAAAAGCCAAAGAACTCTCGAAGAGCTAGAAAGGAACAGTGTGTAACCCTGGGATGTGAAGCTGCTGGCAAAATGCAGCGCCGCGAGGCATCACGAGCGGAGCCCCAGGCCCAACCTCTCGGTGGCATCCTATGAGCCGGAGCGACCCTGTGCGGGTCCCGGGGCCCGAGCCCCGGCGAACGCGCTCGGCGTGAAGACCACGCGAGGCGCCCGGAGCTCAGGGAAGCAGCCCCCCCGCCGCGCATCCTCCGAAGGCCGCCCCCCCCCGCGCCGCCCCGCTCCGAACGGCGGTGCGGGCTGCTCGCCATATGCCGCTGGCCGGGGCGCTGGTGCCCTGGCAGTGCCGCACGCACTGCTGTCAGTGGGGCGACGCAGGGCTCGCCCGTGCAGGAGTCCGCGGCCGCGCGCGTGGCGGCCACAGGAAGGAGGTGGCCAGGCCCTCCCGGCGCAGTGGCGGGGCCGGTGGGCTGTAGCCGCACACACACACACACACACACACACACACACACACACACACGAACACACACACACACACACACACACACACGAACACACACACACACACACACACACACACAAACACCGGTGGAGATCCAGAGGCACCTCCAGAGGCACCGGCTTTCCCGTCGTGGCATGCGCGCTGCGAACAGGAGGGGGAATGATGGGGGGGGACCCGCTCAGTGAGGCAGAATAGCTAGATCGGATCGCAGATGCATCGACGCTGGATCGGTGATAGGCCCCCGTAGCGAAACCGAGCGTTCGTGGGCGGGGTGGGTTATCATCAGGCCCCTGTCGGCGACAAATGGGCGACCGGGGGTCGACGCTTCCCCCCCTGAGACAGGCCACCGCTGCGGTGGCGCCTGAAATAAGACCAGCAGCTAGTCCAGCTGTGGCCAGCCCGCGAGGAGCAGGAGAGGAGCAGGAGGAGGAGCAGGAGAGGAGGAGGAGGAGGAGGAGGAGGAGGAGGAGGAGGAGGAGGAGGAGGAGGAAGAGGAGGAGAAGGAGGAGGCGGCAGCCGAGGAGGAGGGGGAGGGCGAGAAGAGGGGAGGAGGAGGGGGAGGAGGGGAGGAGGCGGAGAGGGGAGGAGGGGAGGAGGCGGATGGGAAGGAGGACACGGAGGAGAAGGAGGAGGAGGGGGAGGAGGAGGAGGAGGAGGAGGAGGAGGCGGGGGAAGGAGGAGGAGGGGGAGGAGGGCGAGGAGGAGGACGAGGAGGAGGAGGAGGAGGAGGACGAGGAGGAGGAGGAGGAGGAGGACGAGGAGGAGGAGGAGGAGGAGGTGGAGGAGGAGAGGGGGGGCGGGATAACATGGAGAACCGCCATGGAAGTGCCACCAAGTTGCCCGACAGCACTCGAAGTCAAAGACTGGGTCACGGTGCCGCGAACTCGCTCACCAGCCTGACCTCATCAAAACCGGACGAGTCTACAGGGGCTCTCCTGGGATGCTTGCCCGCGAGCAACAGAGCCAGGGTCTCCTTGGGCCCTTTTTCCGAGCCGCTCTCGAAACCGACCCTTCAGGAGAGGCCTCAGCCGCTGCGAGCAATGAGCCCCGCAGTTCTAATAGAATGTGTGAGGCCGCAGTGACCCTATGCGATGCCCCCGGGAGGCGAACGAATCCCCCGAGCCCGACGCAGAGGCCGCTCCATCCTGGACGACCGCGGCCCCGGGACCCTCGGACGGCCCCGAACCACCCCAACACCTGAAGCCGACTCCGCCGCAAGCGCCACCCGGAGGGCCTCTGGTCTCGAAGTCGGGGCGGCTGCCGCAAACCCGCCCCCCTGGGCCAAGAGCAAGGTCGGACCTGTCGTCCTGGAACCCAGACCCCCGACGTCATGATTTTTTCATGACGTCGACCCCCACAGGTCTGGACCCTTTCCCCATGACCGGCTTTGCATCCTGAGTCGTTTTTTGACGCTCCCGAGGCCCGGTGAGGGCCCCCGGAGGCCGAAAACTGGGAAAACCTCCCGTCGTGATTTTTTCATTACTCGAGGGGGTCTGGGAACGCAGAGGGGTCACACTTACGGCCAGCCCCAGGCGTCGTCCACCAGACCGTGGAAACTGCCTTGGCCTGCCTCAAACAAGGCCTGCACACTTGGTGGCCA